CGAGAGGATCTGTTTCAATGTAATCATCCTGAACGGCCGTCTCATGAGGGCGCGATTCAGGTGCCTGAGATCGAGGATGGGCCTTAGGCCACCTTGGGGACGAGGAAGTAACGGCTGTAGAAGCCTGTCTCGTTCTTGGCTGGGAGAACCGTTTCTACGGCCCCTTTTGCCAGCAAATTCATCACCTCGGCGCGTAGGACGTGTACATCCTCGTGCCGAACCGAGTTGGAGACCACGCCACTGAATCACGGGGGTCTTCGAGCGAATTGGAGTGTATAACCTCGTTTTATTATCCCCATAAACCAGTCTGACACTCCGGGGATGGATTGGTTCGAGCGGTGGGCCGCCCAATGGGGACCCGACTCTCGTAATGAGTTGAAGAAGAAATTTGCTTTCTTTTTGAAAATGTTTGTGTTTTATTTTTCTCGCTATAACAGCGGCTGGTTGTGTGGACACGATTAGAACAGGTCCCATGTTCACAACAGTATTTTTTGTCACAAACACACTGCCGTCGGCACCCGGAACTGAACGGGGTGCTCGGAGGCACAACAGAGGCTGTTTGGGGGGGGTGGTCCAGCTGCAGCGAGACTTGGCTCCTTCCTCTTCCTGTCCCGCACATCAGGATGACACCTGAGGCGCAGGGTCCAATGCTATCTTGGGTCAGGGGCCCTGGTGTTTAGGAAATGGATAGCCTCGTCAACGCTCCCGCTCAGCCAGACGCTAAGTTTAGGAGCCGTGAGAGCAGCTGGTGGTGCGGGCTTCGCGGGATGCTGAGTCGGCACATTCTTTGGGCGACTGGAAGCAGCCGTCAAACTGGAGCGCTTTGGCAGGAAGTGTCGCATTGCCTGGGACGACTTCTGTGCAGCGGTAAAGCGTTCGGCGAAACCCTCAACTGCAGGTCCAAACAGGCCAGTAGGGTAAACCGGGGAGTCGAGGAAGGGGACCTTATCCGCATCCTTGATCTCCGTGAGGTTTAACCATAGATGGCGCACAAGCACCACTAGGCTGGCCATGGATCTGCCAATCGCCTGCGCTGTCATCTTGGTGGCACTACGCAGTTACTTAAAGCTGCGGGGTCTGGGCAAGACTCATCCATGCAACGGAGGAGCTTGGCCTGGAAGGCCTGTAAGACCGCCATGGAATGAAGCGCAGAGGCCGCTTGTCCAGCAGACGAGTAGGCTCGGTCGGCGAGGCCTTTGCCTTCCAGCCGATGGCCATGTGCGGGCAGAGATGCGTGGCCACTGACTCATCCAGGCGAGGCAGTCTGTCGTACCCCTTTTCTTCGGCACCGTCGACAGACGTGAGGGCGGACGAAGATAAGGCACGAAGGCGGGCCGAGTAGGGGGTGTGCCAAGACTTGGTGATCTCGTCGTGGACCTCTGGGAAGAATGGTGAAGCTTATTGTCGAGGGGCCTAACTGCACCCCGGCAAGAACCACTCATCCAAGCGGCTGCGGGTGGGCTTCTCTGGCGGACACCACTCCAAACCCAGCTCCTCCACAGCTTTAGACAGGACGCAGAATAGTTCAGCATCCATGCCCGTGCTGGCTGCGCTGGGCTATGCAGATGGCAGGGGGGCGGGGTCAACATGTGAGCCCGACAGCTCCTCCGCATCTGAAGCCTCCAACGACATGCTGTCGTCCATGGCGTCACACTCGCTCCCACCAAACGAAACCAGATCGCTCGCAGCCGCAGAGGGATGTTGGTCCGGAAGGGAGAAGTGGACAGGTGAAGCCTCTCTAAGTGGAGAGAGTGAGGCACGTGGGGGCTCAGCCGGCGTGGGCTCACTCGTCACGCCGCTGCTTTTTCCTCACAGGCTCCTGGGATGAAGAAAGCTTTCCACGAGCGCAGAGAGGCAAGACTCATATCCTCGCAATGAGGACATTCCATCTCAATGAGTGCTGCTTCAGCGTGGGCGGCGCCCAAGAATGAAACACATTCGCCGTGACCGTCAGCGGCGTGCAGGGCACAGTAACAGCGCGGCATTTGAAACCACGCCGGAAATTTGCTCTTTTAATGTCACCGGATGGCGGCCAGTCTAATCCAGGGGTGCCCACACTCGGTCCTGGAGGGCCGGTGTCCTGCAGAGTTTAGCTCCAACCCTAATCAAACACACCTGAAGCAGCTAATCAACGTCTTACTAGGCATACTAGAAACTTCCAAGCAGGTGTTGAGGCAAGCTGGAGCTAAACTCTGCAGGACACCGGCCCTCCAGGACCGAGTTTGGGCACCCCATGTCTAATCTGTCCTGCCACAGTTTCATAATAAACCGGAAAAATATTGATACTCCTCTTTATAACATAAAAAGTCTTTTAACGTTGTGTTTCATGTCATTGCTTTGGCAAAGTGTCCATCAAACAAACTAAGCATAATATGGTTTAATCCATTCATCAAGTCTGTTTGTGCAGCTTGTTTCAAAGCCAAGCGCGCGCTTTGTTCACATGATCAGCTCGTGATCTGTTTTTTTTCTGTCTCAGAGCGGCTCAAATCACTGGGAATGCTGTGAACTCTGTTTTTGAATGTGCTGTGAGTTTAGCGCGCATCTGAGAACGCTACGGGCACCAGCTATGCTTTGTTTTCACATTACCATAATTTTCAACATTTTAATGGGCAAATGTTTACAGTATTTCACGAGATTTGTAAAGACACATGTTTGTAAATCTGTTTTCACAGAAGTTGGAGTTTTCTGCCAAAATAAAAGCTCAACTGCAGTTTCCTCCAAATTAAAAGCTATTAAGTTTATCTCTTGCAAGCAAGGACTAAAATTAACAGATGCGCGCAAAGAAAATACTGTACAGGCAGAGCAAGTTCACTGTTTATTGGAAGAAAAATATAAATATTGGGGTGGGGGTTCATATGAATGTATTTCTGAAGGGAACTGACTTTCGATGGCATTTTTTTCTCTCATCACTTCTGTTCCATAAGCGCCACCTGCTGTCAGAGAGTGAAATTCAGCCTGTCTGCTGTTTTTGTTTTATGCAGGATTGAGCATAATTTTACAAAGCTGAAGTCAGACCATTCTGTTTTTGCTTCAAATGTTGAAAAATTTAATTAAAAAAAACTGCTCGTGCTACATGTGTGTAGCATCTTTGTTTGTATCGTAATTAAAATGCAGTGATTGGTTCTAATTTCAAAAGATTTTTTTAAAATTATTAAATATGTTTAGTTGTTGTAGTAGCAGCAATTGCAAAAACAGTTTCATGGCCAGGAAAAAATATTTGTGGCCAGTAAATTTTCTCAAATCACCAAGCATTGGCAGATGTGGCTATTACTCATCATATACAGTTATTATTATATTCTAATTTGTTTGGCTTCCAAATTCATCGGTGTGAGCGTAATTTAGACTAAGACACTATATCACAACTAAAAAGAGGATTGAGCCCCCTTTAAACTTCAAGTACAAGTCAATTCACCAGCTTTTTTTCTTTGTTTAGTTTGCACACTGAACCTGTGTTGCAGCTCTTAATTTTGAACTCTCAAAGGGCACCAGATCGATTTAACTTTAAAATGTAAAAAATTTTCCACCGGGGACCATGCCTCTGGACCAGTGTTAATTTTGATTCAGTCTTTGTCATAGTCTTTTGACTACTACGCCATTTAGTTTTAGTCATATTTTAGTCATCTGACTTGTTTTAGTTGACTAAATATCATAAGATTTTAGTAGACTAAATCTACAGTAGATGGGAACTTTTGGGATAACATAAATACACAACTGCATGAAATATATCACACTGTGCAAGTAGTTTTTGGATATTTTATTACGAAAACCTTACATATTGTGCCTTTAAATAGCAGGTCATATGGTATTTTAAAGTGTCCTAATATTGTGATGGAGACCCCTACAACAGGTTTAAATGCATCTAAGGTGCATCTCAGAAAACATTGTAATTTTCTCAGAATATTCATTTAATATTAGGAGTCATTTCTCAATGGTTTTGTTCAAAGCATCTGCCTGTAAACCCCTCCCTTCCATGAGCATACTCTGCTCTGATTGGTCAGCTGGCCAAGCCTGTTGTGATTGGTACAGAGAGGAGTACTTGAGCAAGTTAGCGAGTGCTACCTTTACATAAAACCATACTATAGTGCTCCAATCCGTTCTTAAAATACAGACATAAAAAACATTTTGTTCAAGGGTGCTTCCACACCTGGTCTGTTGTTTCGGAACCTGGCGCGTTTCCCCCCTTAGCTCGGTTCGTTTGGGCATATGTGAACACGGCAATCGCGCTCGGATCCGCGCCAAAACAATTGGTCCGAGATCGCCTGAATGAGGTGGTAGCTCAAACATTTCCTTCAGATTCTATCCTTGAAATACAATGGTATTTTTCATAATATTGGGAAGACCATGAAACTGGTTATCATTAGTCTGTCTGCACAAGACACCAACAGCCCAGCTGCATGCAGCAAAGGTTGTACAGTACTGTGTACTTCTTATACAGTAGTGTGCGAGTTTCTTATTCAAACCAATCAATAGACCGTTCCATCACCGAGCGAGTCCTTCAGCGTCTGTCATTACACCATCTATGTTGCTAAGCCATCTGCTTAGAGTCAAGAGCGCATCATTTATCATTATTCGCATGAAAATATTTCCTCAGAACATAAATTCTGAAGAATTTAGAAGAAACCCCCATCCTATATCAACTTATGATGCTACATTTACACCTGCTTGACACAAGAAAGTCACAACAGATGTTTTCTTCTTTTGAACTGTTTGTCACTCACAAACATTCAAACGGTTTGATTAAAAATAAGTTTTCATTGTGTTCAATTCAGAAATAAACATTGGGTTTAATGTTACACATAGGAATGTTTTTGTTTAGACAACTTCTGCATTATTTATTTAATGTCTGTCCACACGGGTCGACCCCGCTCCATGTCAAATAAAACCACTTTAATTAGGACACTCGTATCACATTCTTCATAAATATCATTCATTCCTGCAGAGCTGGAGATTTTAATAACTGGATCAAATGAGTTGAGTTCAGCTTTGAGAACGAAACCAACCTGTTTGTTCCTCAGTGTCTTCTTGTTTCAGACTGAACACTTCTTCAATCCTGAAGTCTTCAGTCTCCTCTTTAATAAACGCCATCTTTATAAGTGTGTGACGAGGCTCTCAGTCGCTTCAGCGGGAGTTTCTCTGTGTTTGGACACTCTGTCCTGATTAAGATGATATGAACAGAAAGAAAAATGAACTGAATCTCTGGGTGCGTCTCAGTCAGTGCTCTTTAGTTCAGTAGTCAGCGCACTAGTGAGGGAGTCAAAGTAGAGGCACCTAATTAGACAAAAACACTCAAAACTAGCACTGCAACATTTATAAAATAACCATTTATAATTAAAGTAATTTTTTTGTATCTAATGATTTGTTGACCACATGTATCAGACTGTACTTTAATAAAAACATTTTCTATTGGTTTAAGTTTTTCCATCGCTTGTAAAATGGTTTCTACAATTTAAATGCTTTAAACACAAACCTTTCTTCAGTCGAATCACAAAAGATGCAGGAGCACGGCGCACACTTGTGACCTCACATCACCGCGCCACAATAAAAGTCCCTGCTGTCTTCTTCTTCTAATAATGGTTTATGGTGGACGGCAAACCAACTTCTGGTGCATTTCACACACTGCTGTCTAAAATACATCTAGAACATGATATACAAACAATTAAAGAGTTGACAGAAATTCAGAGCTTAATCTATGCGCGAAAAACTTTTAAATGTATGTTGTTCAATCATGTGCTGAGAACATTTGGAAACAACTAGAGTGTGAGATTATGTTCGGATGAGGAAACCATTTTATACCAGATAGAAATTAGATTAAAATACAAATGTGATTTAAAAAAAGTATATGAGTTAATAAAGCAGAGGTCATTATTTTTCAGTATTGAAACGACGAGTTAGTGTTTGTCTCATTTTTAAAATGTGGAAAAGTTCATTCGAGTCTGAAAAATACCTGAAAATAGGTATAAAATGTCTACAAATTACGATTGATGAGATTTATTACCATTATATGGGTCATTACTACTATTCGGTGGCATTTAATTTTTTTAATTTTCATGATGTAATCATTTAATGTGAAGATGGGCTTGTTAAGACTATAAGAAAAATACATTGGTCCAGCTCAGGATATTATATAATAGTTTAGTAATAATGTCCACCCTGTTACAGGACATTCTCATCTCGATTAATACGTGTTTTGAATGCACAGTTATTGTAATATTTACATTTTCTAAGAGCTAAAATGTCCCTCTCTTTACCCCGCAAATGTATCTTAACAAAGTGTTCATAAACAAGCATTATCTTGAAAAATGTTGCTGTATTTTAAGACCGTGTAATTTCAACATTTCCTTTAGAATAAAAAGAAATTCCAATGGAATTTTGGCCCCATTTTAAATTGTTTCATTTTACCATTTCATTCATTCGAGTGACAGAACGATAAATAGAATAACACTTTGATTCTAAGAAACTTTTTCAAATTTGCTTTAACATTCTGTTTCGTTTTTATTAGTTTTATTAATAATTGTGTTAGTTTCAGTTTAGTTTATATTTTGTGAACACATTTCTATTAAATAACTAAATAACGGTCCCGTGCTTATTTATGTTCACGCTCTGTCTGAAGACCGTCACGATTTCTATTTACAATTCGATTCGCAGGTTTACTGGACTGTTTTAGTACCTAAAACACAACTAAATACAATTCATTTCTACTTAATTGTAGTTGAGATATTTGTGAATTAGCCTCTTGAGACCCGGCAAAACAGAGTAAGTATTTAGTAGTATTTTTTCATGTCATTACATTGTTTAGACTAGAGCATTAAAAAAAAAAAGTTTAAAAAAAAATGATATTTTATTCATAAGTTATGCTACGTCCTTGGTAGAGGACATCGGGACTCAATTCTTTAAAAAAAAATAAAAAGACATGAATAAACATGCATAGGCAAAAACAATTGCTTTGTATAAAGATAATTCTCGACTATGTTATAACAGAATATCTTTATGCAAAATGTGTGTAAAATGGCCATAAACAGGTTTTCTCAAGATTAGTCAGATTTAAATGATAATTACAAAATATTATCATATTTCCATTTTGATATAGAAGAAAGTGGAAAAAGTCAACAGCACATAAATGCCAGAATGTAAAATGAGCTATTTTATGCATTTAAATTGTTTCATTTGGCTTTGTACTTTACAAATTAACGAGAATTAAAAAAAAAAAAATTTTTAGTATAAGTGCACTGTGCTCACTTTTACTTGTGCATTAAATTAAAAATAAAAAGACATAGCCTATCAGCTTGCGCCTTATATTGTGATCTCGAGTTGCAGAATAGGCTATATTTTATATGCATTGGAGAGACGTTCTTTATTGTGATGCATACATAGCCTACATGCATGCACAGTTTGCAACTTTTTGGTAATTTCATGACTTAACTGACGACAGAACTACATTGTATGCTCATAGTTTTTTTGTGTGCTTCATTTATGAGGCGATATAGAGCGTGCACCTCATACTGAAGAGTGTGCGCCCTGAGCACAGTACGGCTGACAGGACAGGAAAGTTTGTTTTACCTATCATATAGCCTAACAACATCTCATCAGACGCAGTTCACTGTTGTTCTACTGAAGCTCATTTGGCACATGTTCCTTTTCCGAGCTCGTTTGACTTGCGCCTGGCGCTGAGGTGATGTTGAAGTGCGCGTCTGAAAAGTCTCCCGTTTGATGTGGTCTTAAAGAGATACGGCGTCTTAATAAATGCACTTCTTGTCAAGAAAAAAAACGACAAAAACTGCAGTTGTGAGTGGGGTGGCCAAGCTTACTCCGCCCCTGAGTATGGAAACTGAACAGTAGCTCACTGCAGGACAGATGGAGGCGCTAAGATAAGAGTAATGCATCTTTCACATCTGTAAAGACTCTACGTTTATTTGTGTGCACTCACAATAACCACGAAACATTGCGCTTTTGTAAAATAACGAAAGCAAACAGGATGCGCTTTCTGCCGTCTCGGTCTCTGTGAACTTGAGCGCGAAACTGTGTATATCTTTGCCTTACAGACATTAAAACTAAATCTGTAGAGAGTGAAATGTCTACTTTCAAATGAACCAATTCAAATGGAATCAGATTATGTAATCCGTATGAAACATGCATACAGGCGCGTCAACTACTGATGAGTCGGTGTCGCTGAGTTCATCTCTTAAACCGAAAACGAAGAAAGCACGAGTTTATCAAATTATTAAAATCTTAATGCAGCCTCCTTACTGTTTTTCCCTGATTCATTCATAATCATTACTTCTTCCGGTGCGCTGAGGCAAGCTTTATGCAAGTGCTTGAGCGCTTATTAGGCTATGTAGCCTTGGACAAGCTGATAATTTGCCCCAAAATTTCCATTTCAACGTATCACACATCCACAGTCTGTTCCCTCACAGACGGTAGTAGAAGAATGGCTCTTGTCCTGAATTTGTGGAGGGGGCATCATACATACGCCTGCTAAAAACTTGCACTTTGTCCGACAGACATGTATGGGAAGCTTTTTCTGCTTGTTGGAAGAACAACAATGAAGTTCAGAACAGCTCCACTCAACGTTTCTGCAGTAAATGCGATCTATCCAACATCCTATTCTGCCACTGAAAAAGTGAATGATATCTATCTATCTATCTATCTGTCTGTCTGTCTGTCTGTCTGTCTATCTATCTATCTATCTATCTATCTGTCTGTCTGTCTGTCTGTCTGTCTATCTATCTATCTATCTATCTATCTGTCTGTCTATCTAACATGTCTGTCTTCTCTCTCTGTCTGTCTGTTATGTGTAAATATTAGGGGTGGAACGGTTCAACTTACTCACGGTTCGGTTTGTATCACATATTTCTGTTTACACAAAAACTGTACTGTCAAATAAAAATAAAGAAAAGAATAATCTATCTAACTACAAGCAACAGCACAAATAAATACAATAGAGTAAAGATACAAATAAAATAATTTTTTTTAGGTAGGTCTAACGTTAGTTTTCAGGTACAGAAATTGAATAAAGTAATGAAATGTAAAACAGCATAGTGTTTCCCAACCTTTTTTTAGTCGTGGCACCCTTTGGGAATTTTAACAAATTTGTGGCACCCTACAAAATTGGCTCAATGTTTGAGTGGACTTTGCTGCTCCGATGAGCATGAGCGGTATACGAGTGGAGCGACTGAGCACACGCATAGAGCGGATAATACGCAGAGCGTCACACCACCTGAAAGTGAAACTAATTTTCGGCAGCCGGAATTTCTGTGCATCTCTAATTATTGGCGACACATTCGCATTGAACATGAGTGAATGGTTTGTCTACGTTTTTTTTCATCGCTGTTGTTGTAATGTATTGGGAAGCCAGAATGCGCATCCATCAACAGAAACATATATTAGCCAAACCCTGTTTGTTTTACGTGTTATTTATAGCAAACGATATTACAGATGCGTTGTGAGATAAGATTTAAGTTGAACCGCGGTCCTAGCGCGTGCCGAACCGTGTGTGGAGAACTGTACTGTTCGATTTTTTTCCGCAAACCGTTCCACCCCTAGTAAATATATTCATGTCATAATCGGTACCACGCACACACAAACACACACACAGCAAAGTCTTGTTTAGCTATAAGTGGACATTTCTGAGCGGTTTCATGTTTACCTTGCCTAGTTTTGGACCTTGGACTGTTTCCTTGTTTTATGATTGTTCGCTGCCTGCCCTGACCATTACCTGTTTTTAGGATTACTCTTTTGTCACGCCTTGGATATAGTTGTTTGCTGGTGTTGGACCCTGCCTGTCCTGACCACTAACAATTTTAATAAAGCTTACATTTGCATCTTTATTGTCTCGCCCAGTCCGTTACAATTTACATCAACTTAATTCTTCTATGTAGAATCAAAGTGTGACCGGATAACATCCACAGTATCACTCCACTGCGTCAAGGGATGAAGTGGCCATACTTTGAAGGAATACTCCAGGAGCGGCATAAAATATCAAAGCTTATGGTTTGTCTGAAAACGACAAGTGAAGTCTGTTCTTTATTTGTCAATAACTAACTCAGAGCTGGGTAGGTTACTTACAAATTGTAATCCGTTACTGATCCGCTACTTTTAGATGACTTTTGACCTATCTTGTTTTTCACAGTGATTTATATAAGATAATCTTGTATCCTATTGATATAAAAATGCAAAGAGTAAGAAAATATATTCCATTTGTTGAAGTGCGTTAAACGTTATATTACGTCAAGTTTT